AGGATTCTTTTGGTATGAACTCAAACCCTAGCTAGTCTTAATTAACTACTTTTGAAAGATTCTTTCTGGATCCAAGGTAAGCTATTGATTAACCATGATTTTTTCATTTTCTTGAAACCATTTCGACATTTTTCATCATTTATATTCATGCATGCATGCAAGGTAGTCTAGGCACTGGTACTTTCCAGGAAGTAAAACTAATATATATTCCGAAGAAGTGTGACAGATTAGGATTCTGTTTCCTTTTTAAGACCCTGTTATTTATATTCTACAAATATTATTTAGGATTGGTGTTTTTTTTCTTGTTAACGAACGGCTATAGCCGAGAGGAATTTGTATTATTCTTGGATGATACCAGAAATAATAGCCAACTACATGGATTAAAAAATTAGCATGATTTTAAGACTTAAATTGTAAAGCATCAACCTCTTGTAGGTCAGAAATCCACACTGTTTTTAACTTGTGCTACTTCAGAAATGGGAGGATCAGGAAAGCTAGCAGCCGACAAAAGCAAATCAAGCACGAGTACCGTTTTGAATGATGAAAGCTCGACAGCACTAGTTCATTCCGAAGAACAACCACCTCAACCTGTTAACACATATGCACCACCAATTGTGTCCTCATACAAAGAGAAAATCCGTCCTTTTGCTCGACGCAATTGACAAACTTTGTAACTTAAGGATAATGGAAGAAGGTATTCCGCTCTCCACAATTGTAGTGGTTGGTGATCAATCTTCCGGTAAATCAAGTGTGCTGGAATCGTTGGCCGGCATTAGCCTCCTTAGGGGTCAAGGTATCTGTACAAGGGTACCTCTTATAATGAGGTTTCAACACAGTCCTCAGCCTGAGCTTTCTTTGGAGTGTAACAGCAAAGTTGATCGTACCGACGAAAACAATATTTCTGATGATATTGTCAAAGCCACTAATTCTATTGCAGGAGGAGGTAAGGGGATTGTTGTGATTGGCTCATATAATTATGAGTTGCAACAATTTCATCTCAACCATGTGGAGTGCTAGCTACTTTCGGCTAAAGAAAGGGATAAAGGAAAAGGGAGACATCTACTTTTGGCTAAAGAAAGGGACAAAGAAAAAGGGAGACATCATCATGTCTAGCCCTTGATTTGTGGCCTTTTCAAAGGTGGTTTTCTTTTGTTGTTATAAGTGGAAGGATTTGCCGAATGATGAAATGGCTTGCCGAGTGAGAGGGTAAGCATCAGAGAGCATCCAAGGGGGAGAGCATTCGGCTCTCCCATGGGAAAGCATGGGCATGGGTGAGAGAAAATCAAGAGAGCTAGAGTGAAAAGTATTATAGTGAAATAACTCTTGGGGTAGAGTAAGGCTCTTGGAAAAATTCTATGAGTGGGTGTACAAGGGATTTGGGATTGGGTTATGTCGATTTAACTCATGTTTACTTGTACTGTTATTCTCATAGTGAAGAGCAATATCTCTCCGGGGACGTAGGCAGGATTTTTGCCAAACCTCGTAAATTTCTCGGTGTCTTTATTTCTTGTATTTTATTCTGTTCAACTGAGTGTGATTTGGTGAGGTTGTAATTTGAATCTCGTTTCCACACTGATAAACGGGCCAAGGCACAACAGGGATATCTAATACCCCATTGACATTGCTGGTTAAAAAGAACGGCGTTCCTGATTTGACGATGGTCGATCTTCCTGGGATCACTAGAGTCCCAGTTCAGGGTCAGCCTGAAAATATTTATGATCAAATCAAGGATATGATCATGCAATATATCAAGCCTGAGGAGAGTATAATTCTTAGACCTAGTTTGGGAGTGAGGTGCTTAAAAAAAACACTCATGAAAAAAAAGCTGTGAGGGTTTTAGGTGTTTGGTAAACTGAAAAAAAAAAGGCTTATTTTGGAAGCTGCTGTGAGAATAAGCTTAAATCAAAGAAAAAAGCTAAAGCTGCTATTTGTAGCTTTGGAAAACTGGCTTTTTTTCAAAGCACACGGAGCTACAATGCTTCTTTAATGAAAAGACCCAATACTAGACTGCTTTTTTTTCCAAAAGCACTTTTACAAAAAAGTTTACCAAACACTCTGCTGATTTATTTCACAGCCGCTTATTCTCACAGCATAGCCGCTTATTCTCACAGCAGCTTTTTCAAAGCACAGCAATACCAAACCAGCCCTTAATGTCCTGTCTGCTAGTGTTGATTTTGCCACTTGCGAATCGATTAGGATGTCACAGAGCGTGGACAAGACCGGTGAAAGGACTCTGGCGCTAGTGATGAAGGTCGATAAGGCACCCGAAGGATTGCTTGAGAAGGTGACAGGAGACGATGTCAATATTGGGCTAGGTTATGTCTGCGTGAGGAACCGCATTGGTGATGAAACATACGAGGAGGCAGGGGCTATTACTCAGGATTTATTTCAATCTCATCCTCTTCTATCTAATATCGAAAAATCTATGGTTATTCCAGTTTTAGCACAAAGGTTGGTGCAGATTCAGGCTATTGGCATAGCGAGAAATTTACCAGAGATAGTAAAGAAAATCAACGAGAAGTTGAATTCCAGCCTCGCAGAGCTCAACAAGATGCCTAAGAGTCTGACATCCGTTGCTGAGGCTATGACAGCTTTCATGCAGATCATTGGATCGGCGAAAAAATCACTCAGGAAATTTCTTCTGAGAGGCGAATTTGAAGAGTATTCTGATGATCGCCACATGCATTGCACTGTGCGAATGGTCGACATGCTCAATCAATAATTAGATGAGCAACTTTCTAATGGAAGAGATTAATGTGATTAATGTTTTGGAGGAAACGAAGCGGATTATTCTTCCGAACTTTCTTCCTCATAATGCTTTTATCACTGTGTTGGAGTTGGAGAGCAAAGTGAACGGAATTTCAAGCATTCCTCTTGGGTTTGTGGAGAAGATCTGGAGTTATATAGAGGATGTTGTTGTTTCAGTGTTAATGCGACATTTAGAAAATTATTATAAGCTTCAGCTGTCCGCCAAACGAGTAGGCCAGAATCTTATGTCGAAGATGAAAGAAAGGTCGATTACTTGGATGACGGAGATAGTTGAAATTGAGAAAGTTACTGATTATACATGTAATCCGGAGTACCTCTCTGAATGGAATAGATTGATAGGTCAGCATGACGCTTTCGTTAACGGAGTCTTAAAAGACAAAAACCGCCCAGCTAAGATAACTATAGAGGGCATAGGGGAGGTTGAAGTTGAAGCTCTTAGGAAGAATCTGAACACTCTTTCGGCGGCGTATAACCTGAAAATGCGGATGATTGTGTAGGGGAGGTTGAAAAGATGCTGGAGGAGTCTCCGGCGGTGGCAGTTAAGCGGGAAAATGTTAGAATTCCTTTGTCCGACATCGGCCAGAAGGCTTGAGAACAAGACCTTTATATAGAATTATCCCACCCTAACTATCATCGAGGCATTTTGTATTAAAACCCCACACCTGACAGATTGAGCAGATGGCCAAGTGGGAATAGTATCGGTGCTGTTGAAGTGAGCCCATGGCCCGTCTACCTAAAATTTAAGATGGTATTAGAGCCAGAAGACGGGCCCAGACTGCCACGTGAACTAGTGGGTCCCTTTTGTATTAAAACTCTACACCTGACGGATTGAGCAGGTGGTCAAGTAGGGACAATATCGGTGTTGTTGGAGTGGGCCCATGGCCGTCTACTTGAAATTTAAGAGAAAAGTTGCACAAGACGATCAAAAAGCTGAAGGATTCCAAAGAGGTCGTGGGGAAGATAATGGACAGCATTATTACTTATGGTGGTCACTGATCTGCAGTGTTAGCACGAAACCATTTTGTTTTTTTTTTTTTTTTTTTTTTTGTTCTATTTCTTTTGGTAGCGGATCGATCTTTATGGTTCATGTATATGTCCGTTTAAAAGCCGATCGATCTTTATGGTTCCTGTAAATATCCGTTTCAAAAAATGAATATGAATGAAGTTTCAATGTTTCTCACCAGACATATGAAATGTGTTTTTTTGTTGAGTTAGGTATTTTCTGCTTTCTTGACCTAAAACTTTGATTTAGTGTGGGCAATGTAGCTAACTAAACCAGTGAAGAAAAACAAAACAAAAACATGAGAAAAGTAGCCAAAAATACAAACAAAAACAGAAAACTGCATTCTGCATAGGCAGTTTATTATATTTAATCTTGTGTTAGTTCCATTTTCTATGCTAACATATTTATTTGTAAGCATCATCATTTAATTTATTTTTTATAAAATATACTCCAATTTTGATCTTCAGCTCAAAATGACAGTATTTAATTTATTTGGACAGTAAAGTAAAAGTACAAAAATTAGAAGGAAAATAGATCTATCGCATACCCTATGTATATTCTTGCCTTCTTTACACCACTTTTCACATTTGATTTGTCCAAATAAGAACATCCATAAACTATTCATACCAAAAGGGTATAATTTCGTTGGGAAATCCCAAAAACACAAGTAGAGATCTTATTTCCTAAATTTGAAACACTAGCCATTTCTTAACATATGGCTGGTTTAATATATTGAATTAGATAACTTTTGTATTCAAAGACTATTGAATTGGATAACTTTCATCTCTTTTATTTTTTTTCATGTCTATATACACACATAAACATATTTATGGTGTGTCGTTCCTATTAATTTTTTTTCGAATTTTAAACTCATTTATCATTTTCGTGTCTAGTTAACAGGTTATGTAAGAAATTAACATGCATAATGCCTAAACATGGTTAAGAGGTCATCTTATCTTAATAGATTTTTAATGTCTAGACATGACCCGACGACCCAATAACCACCCACTCGTTGAGATATCCCCAAATCTTTCATTTTCTCATGTTGTATTGTATCGATTGCATACAAGAAATTGTCAGACCTACCTTAATATATTTTAAATTGGAAAGAAATATCCATTCCAAAATAATCAAACACGACCCGTTTCAAACGACTGTGGTTCGGATCCTCTACTTATTGGGTCGAGCTTCACCCAAAGAGCAACTCTTCTTGAACCAAAGCATGTAAACCTGACCCATCTACCACCTCAAGCCCAAAGAAAACTATTCGACGACACCGAGAAACCAACAACTAATCTGAAGAGACTTTCACGACCCAGCTCGTCGTCATCGATTACACCGAAGTTTCTTCTTCTCACTCATTTAATTGTTACAAATTATGTTTTTTCTCTTCAGTCTTTCTCTCCCTGTAATTTCTATATGTGAAAGTTGATATCAAAGATTTCGAATTTGATCAAATGGGTTCTGCTTCTGCTGCTGCAAATACGGCGTCTTTGATTACTGTCGTCCCTGTTTCTTCGACAAAGTTGGATATCCATGACAAATTTTCATATGGGTTTCATCTCAGGCGTGGTGGGTCGATCGCCAAATTTACTGCCGCCATCTCTCCCAACGGCTCTGTTTCTCCTTCTTCTTCACATGGGGTAGAGTAGACCTCTGTTTCTTCACCTCTCTCTCTTTTCCTGCGTATTATTTTATTTTTTCCTGGAATTTATATCTTGACCTGTTTATTTATGTTTAATTTTCTTTTAGTTTGATGCGCTGATTCTGTATCAATTTTTGTATTTGTATTTGTGAGTGTTGTGCTAGGATAACATCAAATCTGTTGGAACCAACTCAAGCTAACCCACAGTAAATTTATCAAATGAAATGTAAGAACAAAATATTAAAGACACCAAGATTTTAACGAGGTTCCTCAAGTGTAACTGGAGTACGTCCTCGGAGCAGTAGGAGCTCACCCAATAATCCACTATCAACCAAATGGAAGTTTACAAAATGTTGGCAATCTTACAACCCAAATAACCCAATACACCCAATAACTTTCACACTCTAAAGAAACAAATAGAGAAAGAAATATAGTGATTAATTTCTTCTCTATACAAAGCTCAAAGCTATTACAACAATAACACTTTGATGAAGTGAGAACTATCCAATGAAAGGAACAACAACTCCTTCTCTGAAAATGGTACTGCAGCAGTACCTTCTTTCTCTCCCTCTCTTCTCTTCGGCTCTCTAATTTTTCTGCTCTCTACAAACAAAAGAGCTATCCATCTCTTATCTTCTACCGAAACAAACCTCATAATTATGGCTTTAAAAAAAGCCACAAAACATGCCACAAAACAAGGAAACATAATCATGTTGTCCTTTTCCCTTTTTTTTCTTTATAATTTTTTATAGCCAAAAGTTGGCCACTTGGCTACATACTCCAACAATCTCCACCTTGGCCAAGTTCCAAAAAACGCCATGATAAGCCAATCAACACAATTAACACACAACATCACTCCCAAACACTAGCAAGAGAACAACTCATGCCGAGCCAAATGCTCCAAAACTCCTACTGCTCAACGTCTTCTTTATATAGACATAATGTGAGCCAAGTTCAAACAGTGAACAAACTTGGCTACACCAACAACCTTAGTCAACACATCAGCGGGTTTGTCTTTAGTTGGAATCTTCTGGAGAATGATTTCCCCTTCACCAACAATTTCACGAACAAAGTGATAATGCACATCTATGTGTTTGGTCCTCGCATGATGAACCTGATACTTAGCCAAATAAATGACACTCTGACTATCACAATGTACCTCCACCTGCTTCTGATCAACCCCCAAATCTCTAATCAGCCCATGTATCAAAATGGCCTCCTTTATAGCTTCAGCAACTGCCATATATTCAGCCTCTGTAGTAGACAAGGCAACAGACGACTGCAAAATGGACCTCCAACAAACTGGTCCTTTAGCCATAGTAAACACATAGCCTGTAGTAGACTTCCTTCCATCCAGATCATCTGCATAATCTGAATCAACATAACCAACTGCAAAATGACCAATACCAGAGTCATCTTTCTCAAAGCATAAACCAACATCTCGAGTACCATGGAGATACCTCAATATCCACTTAGCTGCTTGACAATGCTCTTTACCTGGATTATGCATATATCGACTCACCATGCCAACTGCATGAGCAATATCCGGTCTAGAGCATACCATTGCATACATCAAACTACCAACCAAATTTGCATATGGTATATTTTTCATTTGCAGCTTCTCTTTATCAGTTTTAGGACATTGTAGAGAACTCAATTTAAAATGAGGAGCCAAAGGGGTACTAACCGGTTTAGTTGAATCATGAACTCCAAACTTCCGAATCAACTTCTCAAGGTATTGTTTTTTATTCAAATTGACCAAACTCTTATCTCTATCTCTAGTGATCTCCATGCCAAGGATCTTCTTCGCTTCACCAAGATCTTTCATCTCAAACTCATTCTTCATTTGCTTCTTCAATTTTTCAATCTCTTCACCATTCTTTGAGGCAATCAACATATCATCAACATATATCAACAAATAAATGAAAGACCCATCTTGCAACTTCTTGAAGTACACACAATGATCATATTGACTTCTAGAATAATTTTGGCCTCTCATAAATTTATCAAACCTCAAATACCATTGCCTTGGAGATTACTTCAAGCCATAAAGTGATTTCTTCAATTTGCAAAACAAATTCTCCTTCCCTTTCACTATATACCCATCTGGTTGACACATATAAATCTCTTCATTCAAATCACCATGTAGGAAAACCGTCTTCACATCAAGTTGCATAAGCTCAAGATCACACTGTGCAACAAGAGCTAACATAATGCGAATTGAGGAATGCTTCACAACCGGAGAAAAGATTTCATTGTAGTCAATGCCCTCCTTTTGTGCATACCCTTTAGCAACTAATCTTGCTTTGAATCTCACATTGCTTTTCTCATCAGCATCTTCCTTCTTGGCATACACCCATTTGTAACCAATAGCTTTCTTGCCCTTAGGCAATTTAGCTAACTCCCAAGTCTTGTTCTTCAAGAGAGAATTCATCTCATCACCCATGGCATTGCACCACCTCTCCTTTTCTTCACTCTCAATAGCTTCCTCAAAATTGGATGGAATCTCATCAGTGATAATAGGAAAAGCAAAAGCAACATAGTCACTATACCGAGCTGGCTTGGTAATTTGTCTCTTTCCTCTATTCTTGGCAATAGACTCTTGAAGTGAAACTTGCTCTTCAACTTGAACAGAATCTTCAAGTTCAACTTCTTCAACATCCTCATGGTCTCCAACTTCTTCACTTGTAGTGGCTTCGACATCAGCGGAAATAGGATTTGAAGTACCAGAGGCAACTTTCTCAAGCTCCACCTGTTGGACATCTTTCACATTCTTCTCAGAGACTTTGTACATACTTTCTTCATCAAATGTCACATCTCTGCTGATTACAAGTTTTTTCATCTCTGGGCACCACAACCTGTAACCTTTGACACCACTACTAAAACCAAGAAAGATAGCATTTTTGGCTCTAGGATCAAATTTATTTTCAGTCACATGAAAATAAGCAGGTGAACCAAAAATACGGATATAGTCATAATCAGAAGAAGGTTTTCCAGTCCAAACCTCCATTGGTGTCTTACCCTGAACAGTAACTGAGGGTAACCGGTTGATGATGTGACATGCATAATGAACTGCCTCTGCCCAAAATGACTTGCTTAAACCCGACTGAGACAACATACATCTAACCTTCTCAAGCAAGGTTCGATTCAATCTTTCTGCAACTCCATTTTGTTGTGGAGTTCCCCGGACACTAAAATGTCTCACAATCCCTTCCTCTTTGCAAAATTTAAAGAAAGGGTCAGATGTGCATTCACCACCATTATCCGATCTCAAAATCTTAATCTTTATCCTAGTCTGGTTCTCAATCATTTTCTTCCAACCCAAGAAAATGCTTAATACCTCACTCTTGTGCTTCATAGTGTAAACCCAAGACCTTCTTGAATAATCATCAACAAAGGTCACGAACCAATGTCTACCACTCAAAGAGGGAGTCTTTGTAGGACCCCAAACATCAGAATGCACATAATCAAGAATGCCCTTCGTCTGATGTACAGCAGTACCAAACTTCACTCTAGTTTGCTTCCCCAAGACACAATGCTCGCAGAAATCAAGCTTACAAGTCGTGGCACCTTTTAGAAGACCTTGTTTCACAAGCCCTTGTAGAGCTTTCTCACCGACATGGCCTAATCTCATATGCCACAGTCTAGTAGTATCTGAATCAGATGTGCCCATATTTTCAGAGACTACAGATGCTTCACCTGTCACAGTGCTTCCCTGCAATAAATACAAATGGCCACATCGAGGAGCTTTCATCACAACAAGTGCACCATAAGTAACTTTCAATGTCTGTCCATCTGAATGAAACCTGAAGCCCTTGGATTCCAAAGTACCCAAAGAAACAAGATTTTTCTTCAAATTCGGTACATACCGAACACCTGTCAACTCTTTAACCATGCCATCATGCAACTTCAAACGAACTGTACCAATCCCTTTTGTTGTGCAAGGATTGTCATCTCCCATGAACACAACGCCACCATCAAACTCTTTCAAGCTTGAAAACCAATCCTTGTGAGGAGTCATATGATGAGTACAACCCGTATCCAACACCCACTTAGTAGCACAATCAAATGATGAGGAAGTGGTTAAAGCAAAATCAGAAAAATCTGTTTCAACCTCAGCAACATTAGCTTCAGAACTTTCTTTTCCTTTGGTCTTCAACTTAGGACAATCTTTCTTCCAATGGCCCTTATTACGACAAAAGGCACATTCATCCCTTTCCAAGGTTTTCTACCTTTAGAGTTTCCTCTGGGTCGAGAGTGTGATTTTTTCCTACTAGAAGATGACCTCCTCTCCGATGATCTACCTCTAACAAATAAAGCTTCAGAGTTACTATCATGATTTTTATCTCTGTGCCTCATTTCATAATTCATCAAGGCATTTGACACATCTTCAAATTTCACAGTTTCTTTACCATGCATAATAGTGGTAACAAAATGCTCATAAGAGTCCGGCAAGGAATTCAACAATATTAAAGCCTTATCTTCATCCTTAATATCCTCATCTAAATTTAACAAGTCGGCAATCAACTTATTAAAAACATCAAGGTGTCTAATCATTTTTGTACCTTCTTTGTATTGGAAGCGGTAGAGCTTTTTCTTCAAGTGTAGCCGGTTCTCTGCACTCTTCGTCATATACTTGTCTTCCAATTTTTGCCACAACACACTTGCTACTGTCTCCCGCATCACAAAATATTTCTGAGTTTTTGCAAGGCACAACCGAATTGAAGAGCAAGCCCACAAATTTAATTTCTTCCATTCCGACTTCGACATAGCTTCCGGCTTTTCTCCCAAAGCGGCAAGTAGATCTTGTTGAGCCAACACATCTTTGACCTCACATTGCCACATCCCGAAGTTGTTTGTGCCATCAAACTTTTCAACTTCGAACTTTGCATTTTGCACCGTAGTTCTTGCAAACCCGGAGGTGCTTCCAAAAGGATTCTCATCTTGCCCGTCTGACATCTTTGGCAACTAGACAGTACCCAAGAGCAACTAGTGCTCTGATACCAATTGTTGTGCTAGGATAGCACCAAACCTGTTGGAACCAACTCAAGCTAACCCACAGGAAATTTATCAAATGAAATGTAAGAACAAAATATTAAAGACACCAAGATTTTAATGAGGTTCCTCAACAGTCAGTGTAACTGGAGTACGTCCTCGGAGCAGTAGGAGCTCACCCAATAATCCACTATCAACCAAATGAGAGTTTACAAAATATTGGCAATCTCACAACCCAAATAACCCAATACACCCAATAACTCTCACACTCTAAAGAAACAAATAGAGAAAGAAATATAGTGATTAATTTCTTCTCTATACAAAGCTCAAAGCTATTACAACAATAACACTTTGATGGAGTGAGAACTATCCAATGAAAGGAACAACAACTCCTTCTCTGAAAATGGTACTGCAGCAGTACCTTCTTTCTCTCCCTCTCTTCTCTTCGGCTCTCTAATTTTTCTGCTCTCTACAAACAAAAGAGCTCTCCATCTCTTATCTTCTACCGAAACAAACCTCATAATTATGGCTTTAAAAAAAGCCACAAAACATGCCACAAAACAAGGAAACATAATCATGTTGTCATTTCCCCTTTTTTTTTCTTTATAATTTTTTATAGCCAAAAGTTGGCTGCCACATACTCCAACAGTGAGTTGGGAATTTTTTTAGTAAATAACCTCTGATGTTGGTTGAATTTTACTATTGATAAATGTGGTTCCACCAAATGACACGTACAAATTGTTTTTGCCTATTTGCTGCTAATGATTTGTAGCAAGAGTGGCAAGATTTGATTTTAGCTGTTTCTAATTGGTAATGGTTTAAGGGAAGTTCATTTACTAATAGAGGTGCATGTTTTCATAAGTTTGATTCATAACCTCGTCGAGCATTTGGAGCTCGCTTTGACTGAGGTTTTTCGATTCGATTTGATTTGATGGCGTATAATCTTTTCTCAGTTTCTCGGTCATTTTCAGAGTGTGACCAAGATTATCTCTGTGAGGAATGTTGAGGTTAGGGATTGGAAGTAAATGAAAAGGGGTGTCATTTTATCAAAAGCTGAGGCCAAGATTATCTTTTGAGAAAACTTCGAGGCCTTACCTAGATTGCAAGTCCCCGTTAAGTTCCAATTGACGAAGATGTTGTTTAAAACTGTTGAAATTATACTGCCTTGATTGAAAGGAGGCCTTACCTAGGATAATATCTAGCTCATTCGGGGGTCTTTTTCAGTTCTTTAACTACATGAAATGTGCATTGAGATGAATTCTTATCCTGAATGAGTAAATGTGAGAATGTCGCGTGATTGACGGAAAATGATGAAATAAGATAATGAATTACGAAGGGAAATAAAACTTTTCAATGAGTTAGATAGGTCTGTATCTTATTCAGCGTTTATTTGATGTTGTAGGCTGGGTGCTCAGCTGGAGATGCGGATAAACAAAGAAGTAGTCTTGAATCTCTGTTTTGTTATGATAAGTCTGTACCGGAAGAGAGAATCGAGAAGCCTATCGGGATATCTTTGCCTGAGAAAATCATTGGAAACAATCCCCGATGCTTTGACTGTGAAGCTAAAGGCGCAGTCCTTTGCACCACTTGTTCTGGTTCAGGCCTGTATGTTGATTCAGTACTGGAGAGCCAGGGTATTCTTGTCACATTCGCTGCCTCGGTAATTAGCTCCTCTTCTCATAACTGAGTACATTTGTTGATTTGAAAAAGAAAACGATATTTGCACTTGATTGTCAAATATTAAAGTTTTATAGCGTTCATTTGAGTATATATGGCCAATGAGAATATGCTAACGCGATAGTTGCTCCATGTAGGTTGTGGGGGAAGTGGCAAGATTATGTGTTCAGAATGTGGTGGGCGCGGGCATCTAGGATGACCAAACCGGTTCGCTTATCTTCCTTGAATTTGCTGTATGTGCAAGTAACTTGTATTATAGCCATGATGCTTTCTCGAATTTTTTGTGGCTGATTCCACGATGAGTTTACGTTAAGTGTAACAGTAATGCATCTGATTCATTTACTCTTAGAAATGGTGTTCTTCCTCAGATTTATGTGCCCTATATCGTGTTGAACGTTCAGAACTACATATCATTTACAGAAAACTGTATGTTGTTACTAGTCGACTAGAAAACTGGATGCAGAGGATCCTACTTGACCGCTCCTGCGATAGGCTTGATCACTTGTTGATAGCTTGCGGTTCTTATGCTTGGAATCTCTGGAGCTCTTCAATACGAGCAGGTATGGTCGAATCAAATCTAAAGCTCTGTGGATCCTCTGAATACGCCACGTAGTAAGATGAAACGCATGCTTGTGGCCATGCCATAGCAACCCGACACTGAATCACATACATCAAAGCCAAAGTTAGAACACATTAGTCATTAGTGTTTTGATATTGCTAAGTTTACTGAGGAAGGATAATTACAGACGAGTTTTTACCATGAAATATCCGATGAAGAATGCGTATATGGAAACTTCTGTAGCATAGCTTTTGTGAATTATAAAAGCCCAGGTCCCGCTCACTAGGCTGCAGATTGCACCTACTGCCACCCCAGAAAGAAAACAGAACGATCCGGTGAGATCCGAGTCGATTAATTCTTTCAGTCCTTCGTTCTCGAACTTCTCCCAAATATCTGATGATGCCTGCGCAAACCCCTTATTATACGCTCCTACGTGCACAAAACCCCAGCGATTCCCGTACATCACCAGCGTCGAAGCCATTCCTAAATAGCAGTTGGCACACGAAAACAGAAACTCGTCGGTGTCCCCTGCAGTCAGTTTCATGGCTCGGGCCGAGCCACGAACAACCCCAAGAACCGGAACCAAGATGGAGCCGATGCAAATACTCCCAGTCAAGTGCTTAATGGTGTCGCGGGAAGCCTCACGTGTGTCGATCTCTGTTCCAAATGCGAAGTTCATATACTTGATTCGCGAGATGGTAACTAGCAGCGTGTTCTTGATTACCTGCATCGTCCATGCCATGCTTAGCAAGATTACTGCGATGAACAGGGCCTTCCAACTACTTCTGATGGCAGTGGCTCTTCCAATGCCGGCAACCAAGAGACACAAGTAAAGAATGCTGACGAAAATTGATTGAATGACTAGTATTGTAGTTTTCGGAGGAGGAAAAGCAGTGGAAACTGATAAAACTCGAATGGCGTAGTCAAAACGGGGACTGACCCAACAGGCATACAGAGACTGAATGAGGGCACAAACGATGGCAACCACACCCGCTGCCAAGCTTACACGAGAACTTATGTATATAAGTAGTACTCCAACTGCGCATGTTAGCAAAGGGCTGAGCGAGAAGGCTGCCTTGATGGCTTTTGAAGGGCTTGAGCTGGTGATCCACTGCCATATGAAAGCAACAGTTGCAGAGCACCCAATTGCAGTGAGCAATGGAGGGTAATACTTGAGGGGTTGGAAATGGCGAGTGCGAGTTGTGAAGATGAGGCCATAGAGCGTAAGGAAGATTACGAAGATGGTGATGAAAATCAAGTGCAAGTAAAACAGAAGTTTAAAGAGCCACCTGAGGAATTGTCCTGCCGTGGTTGTTTCAGTTGGAATGTCGATAGGTTCTTGCGTCTGCATCCACAGAAAACGAACTGGATCTATCAATGAACAAGAAGATCAACGAAAACAGACAAAATCTATATTACAGAGAAAGATGCAGTAAGAAAGAAGAAAAATTGGTGACGGAGATGAAAGCCAGAGAAAGAAACAAGAATTGGGTTAGAGAGAGAACCTTGATTTGGTTTACGGATGAAGGTCTGACTTGAACTTGCATGTGGATGTTCTTGGTGGTCTCTAAACTTGCCATAACTCGATGCACATATGCCTTAATCGCGTCGAAATTCCGAATTCAACTGTCCTTTCTCTAACAGAAATTCTGGGATGGTTTCTACCACTTCCTTTGCCAAAATTCCCGGACTTCGAATTAAACTAATCCCAGGTTGTGTTCATAGAAATTCTCCGGCCGTGGTTGTTTCAGTTGGATTGTTGCTAAGTTCTTGCGTCTGCATCCACAGAAACCGAACCGGATATATCAAGATCAACGAAGACGGACGAAAATGATATCGGAAAGAGGTCAACTGCAAGGACTGTTCTTTCTTCTAATTATCTTTGTGTAGAAGTACTTATGTATTTCAATGGCTCCCAATTCGACCGTCGCTTTCTTTGCCTCCAAGATTCAACAAATCATCATATGGATGGAAATTTCCGAAATTCGATTTAAAAAGACGACTGACCGAGTCTACCACTAAGACAATTTATCTTGAGTTCAGATTAACTTGTTGGTCACGCACCCTCACTCTTGGCATCATGAGCTGGCTAGCTGCCACGTGGGCGTTTATGTTTTGCTAATTGAGTGAGGATTCTCGCAGGATTCCTTTTGTGAGCATCCGGGAATTCTCCAATCATATTCATTTATCGTACATTATGCGGTCAATTTTCGTCAAGTACTGTTTATATTCAATATTAAATAATAAAAATTATAATAATTTCTAACCGTATGATATACGATGAATATATGTGAATATGATTGGAGAATCCGGCGAGGATCCTCACTATTGCTAATTAGGGCTATTAGGCAGGTCAGCAATGGTGACGTGCCGCGCAAGAATTAAAACAACTTCTGGCCGGCCCTGTGTTTTCCCTCGTGAAGCAGTTGGGCTACTTTTTTTTATTTGTTCCGCACGGATTTTCTGTCACTTTTCTTTTGGGGGAAAAAAGTTGTTTATTCTGTTAAAAAGAGAGAGATGATTGTTTGGTTCAGCTGCTAACTGATTTGTAACCACTTTGGGGGCAAGCATAATTACAGGGTTGCCCTTCAACGGAATTTGGGGGCCGTTCAATTTCAAGGTGCCAACTACAACTACTTGCCAAGATATGCTATGGTGAAGTTGAGCTACTATATATTTTGTTGGTACATGGTTTGCGCCTCATTTTTGGGCCTAATATAAAAATATGTAATAAAAAAAACAAATTTAAAAAAAAAAAAAAAAAACACAAAAGGAGGTTGAGTCCAAGTTTTGTAAAACCAAAGAAAAAACTCAATGTGGATTACCCCAAATTCATGTGAACCATAAGTTGTTGTGTGTTTGTGTGGTTTCACTAGTCTCTATCTCGTTGGTCCATAATTTGGCATAAACAATAGGATAGAGAGAATTAGAAATGTCCGTCATGAGCATTTGCAAAGGTATGTGCTTCAAGTAGTCATTTGCAAAATTTTCTCACTTGTTTTGTATCAATACTTATGAAGTGCATTTCTAATTTCTCATATATAATAGTGTGTAGTTCATCCCCATTAACTTGGCCTCAAATTCAATTATTATTATTATTATTATTTTAGAAAACCTCGACGGAAAGAGAGAAGTTTTATTGACATCGAAAAAAAATAGTACACCTAGTTAGGGGGAACATAAACCTAACCCCTCATAATACAAGAAAAAAAGGATAAAAATACATGAAAAGAAGGGGGGACATAAACCTTACCATTTTAGAAACAAAAGCAACAAAGATACAAGAAAAATAGGGGAGGAGGACATGAAACCTAATCCCTTTAAAGCTGAACCTAAAGGTCTAAATCTGCAAAATAGAACAAGGAACATCACCATCAAATTCAATCACTTGAAACTTGGAAATCTCTCACCAAAACATAACGTAAATATTATGAGTTACACAGTCAAAGAAAAAACTTTTAGTGCTTTATCGAAAACAATTGACATAGCACAAATATATTGACTATACTATTAATATAGTGTTCTGTTCTAATAATACAATATTACGTGAAAACAAAACTTACATATATCATTGTATAATATCCACATAACACCATGATAATGGTGTACTCCTGTCATAAATCTCTTCATTTCATTAAGTTCATGTCATTGCTAAAAAACTAAGCAATTAACCAACGCATCACCAGAAAACTAATTAAAACCTTAAAGATCTCCCCCACCCAACAACAAATATACAGTGACTGACACATCTAAATCGCCTTCACTTCAAAGCAACTTCACTTCCAATACATTTCCTAATCTCTCCTTCATTGGCTTTACAATTAGAACTCTCTCTCTCCCTAACCATTTTAACTACAATCTTTCCCTCTCTCTCTGTAAACATTCTTCCATCCCCAAAATCTTCAGCAATGGCCATAAAAGTTTGTGTAATATCTTTCCTCCTAACCTCAGTTCTCTTCTCTCTTCTATACATCCCAACTAGGTTAAAAATCCCTATCCACAACTTCAAGCCAGTCATAAACTACCTCAACTTAACCACCATATCCAGCAACAGCACCACCAAGCCATATCCAGTGACATTTTCCTACCTAATCTCTGCATCCAAAGGCGATTCCATGAAGCTAAAGCGCATGCTGTATGCCCTATACCATCCTGGAAATTACTATCTAATCCATATGGATTACGCTGCACCAGAAGATGAGCACAGGGACATTGCTGACTTTGTGGCTGGAGATCCAGTTTTTGGGCAAGTTGGTAATGTTTGGGTTTTGGGAAAACCTAATTTGGTCACTTACAGAGGACCAACCATGCTTGCCACTACTCTTCATGCATTGTCCTTGCTCCTGAGGACTTGGGATTGGGATTGGTTTATCAATCTTAGTGCTTCTGATTATCCTTTAATCACTCAAGATGGTATGGTGAGTGCCTTTTTATTTTTGTTTAATTTTGTTTTTGCTGCAATTAAATCCATTTTTTGTGTTGGGTTTTTCTTACTTAAATTTCTTGCATTCTTACATAATTATTAAAATTTGTTTTCAGATCTGATACATGCTTTTTCTGATTTACCAAGAGGTCTCAATTTCATACATCACACTAGTCGCTTGGGTTGGAAGCTGTGAGTCTTTGTTTCTTCCTTCTTCTTTTTTTGTTAATTATCAATTAGTTCTTGCGTTAATTAAATTGATTAGAACAGTGCGTTTGATTTCCCCTCTCCACTCTCCGCTTATTGCTCCTTATATTAAATTGGCATTTTAGCCAAATGGTCAATGAGATTTACATAACTCCTTAT